AAATACATATGTATGTATACATTCTCGTAGATACATATAGATAGATAATTGTACTTGCAGACACATGCAAATGTATATGTACTCGTGCTAGGAACGTGAAAGATAATTTATTTGCAAACTAATTTAGCGGCAAATTCAATAATGTTCAACCGTTACTAAATATGTATGTATGTATGTATGTATGTGCAGTATTTAGACTGCAAACGGAAGAAAACACTTACACTCGCGCTTAGTAAAAAATATACATACATACATACACACATATGTACATATAGCGTACTCACTGGGTATGCACATTCCAAGCATTTTAGGCTCCCACAATTACAAAAACTTTTTGTTTTTTTTTTTTAATTGCGATCATTTAAAGCGTGTACTAAATTCCCCGGTGAACACAAACAAAAACAAATGACTAAAAATTAAACATACATATGTACATATACATGTATGTATGTACATGTGTGTGTGCTTGTACTTGTAAAGATGCGCAACAATTGTCATTTCATTGCTAGCCTGCTAATTTCCTTTAGCTGATTATTAGCACCACGTTGCGAATTAGTAGTGTATGTACGTGAAGTTGTAGTTATGATTATTATCACCAAAGCGCGAGTAGTACAAAAAAAACAAACCAACACACAAAACAAACAATAAAAATTAATATGTATGTAGATATGTATGTATATACATAGGTAACATGAGAATATTTGTTAAATGACTAGACGAATGAGTGTGAGAGTGATCTGGTCATGTTGGCTAATCTAATGATGTTAATCAAATTTCATTAGCAATGCGTTAATTAATTTAAATTTGCCTCAATTCCGTTACGACTAACTGGGTAATGAGTTATTGAAAATTTTTGCGTTGAAAAATTCATTGTTAGCACATACAAATACAAGTACTACATGCATACATACTTACATACATACATAGTATGTACAGACATGCAAAAATAGTACTTACTGTACGCAAACATCTACACGCGAAAAAATCACATGCCAAATTATAGTCTTATAAATGCACATATGTACATACATACATACAAATATACATATGTACTAGGAGCAGAACCTTAATATGTAATAAACCAAATGTCCGATACATATGTATCACTACACAGATATACATACTTATAAGTATAAGTATAAGTATAAGTATAAGTATAAGTATAAGTATACGTATAAGTATACTTACATAGCCCTCAACGCCGTACGTGACGTATGAGTAACATTTGATTTGTAAATCAAAGCTGTAATCATTTTATTGTTAGCAGTGATTTCTGTTGCTAAATAAACCGCTTCTGGACTTATTTTATATGGAATTTGAAAAAAAAAATCGAAAATTTCCATGAAGATGAAGATAACGATTTGCTAAATGTTATTTCGTTCACATAATTATTAATAAAATAATATTTTTAAGAACGCCTTCCTGAGCCAAAGCAGTTTTTTTTTTGTCCAATATTGATGTAGCTTCTTGCAAATATCTCTGCTAATTGTTTGACAATTTGTTTAGTTACTTTTTGAACATTCTTCATGCAGACAAAAATCGATAAATCGGTTATCCGTGATACATATATACATATGCATGTATTTGTGATTCTAATCTCTTTTTCTGCTAAGCGATTGATACCATCATCGATTTTAAGTGAATTTAGCTTAGTATTTTTGTAAATTACCGTTATACGGATGTATGTACTTACACTGAGCCAAAAGCACAATGGTTTTTTCAACCAAGTTATGTCTATTCATTCCAGGTCTATTTTATTGGTATTTGATTCTCAACTGTCGCTCCAAAAATAATAATATACATATATACTTTATTCTAAATTTCACGCTTACGCTGGCAAAAGCTAGTTTTAATATAATGAAGTGCAAGTTTGAAGTAGCCAGAACTTGTTTTTGTTTTAGTTGACTTGTTTCAGTCATTTTCTGTTATACGAAATATGTTCGTTAATTTATATATAAATAGAAAAAATTTGCGACACCTTCAACAAAACAAAAATAAACTTGCCAAAAATCAACTCCAAACTTGCACTTTATTTTACTAAAATTGAATAAGCTACAAATGTTTTTGTTTACTTGTTATATTTAATTGTTTATAAAAAAAGTAGCAGAAAAAAAATTGCTTTCATTGACCGACATAGAATATTTCATATGGTACCGCAAACAAAAATAATCCTTTTATTTGACAATCGAGTCGAATATGTATACATATAAAATTAAAATTAAATAAAAATTGCCAAAATTACTCCGAATATATGTAAATACTTATTTATCTGTTCAATTATCATTCATAAAATTTCTATGGGCTCATAAACTAACTTAAATACACTTAGTATATTTACAAGTAGTACATATGTATATGCATACGCTTATGTATGTACATATGTATGTATGTATGTATGTATGTATGTATGTGTATTTCCACATAAACAAGCTGTACGTCAATAAACGATTTGGTAAACAAAAATATTTTTAATAACAATTGAGGGAAGTGATTGAAAGCGAAGCAAAGAAAGAATTTCATACATAAAAGCACATTATGCGTTTCATTTGTAGTCTATTGAATGATTTAAAGGCTATTAGCAATAAATTGGTAGCTGCTAAATGCTCTGATTGAATACCCTTAATACTACAAACATACAAGCATATGTATGTATGTACATATGTATTTATCTTAGAAATTAGAGTTGTGTGGGAACAGCTGTGTGCAGTGCTGTTATCATTGAACCGAGAGTGAAGTAGAGAAATTTCGATTTGAACTTGAAAGCGAAGAGTTTAAAGTTTCACCTTGCTGGCATGTGTATGGCCCTGCGTGATTGACAGTGCTTATTATTTCTCGTAACGATAGCTTAAAATACTCGTATGTATTTTTAATACCACTACAATCCTTCTACATACCAATGTACAGTAGGGTAGTGCAAAACTTTTTTTTTCAGCCACCCCCAGAACTGAAGAATGTCGAAAGTAAGGGGACCCGTTTCTTTATGTTTTTAATTCTGTGCACATTAAACCGTGCCTCAGCTGGTTTGAAGTTTCCAAATATATTTTATATGGGGAAAATATTTTCATTAAAAAATAAAAAAAATTATTAATTAATTTGTCAGAAACGCCCTATCGGAAGGTGATGTATGTATATACGGTTTATGGAGAATTTCATTGGCTTTCATTTTCCGTATTTTATATGAAGATTTTTAAATTGGTTCATAAGATAAACGTGATTAAAAGGAACCAATTTTTGCTTTAAGCTGAGTAACGGTAAATTGCAAATATCTCGAAAACATATCCATAGAAAAAAAAGTTAACTCGATTTTCGGAATCACCGAGCAATTCTACATAGGAATTGGATAGTGGCGTCTGGAGAACAATTTTGCTGTAAACCAGTGTAATTAGCGTTCTTGGATTGGTGGGGGTGCAATAACAATATAAGCAATAAGGCCATGTGGTCTCATTTTCTTTTTGTTTTGGAAATAAAACCACATGACGTTATTACCAATTCAGAAGTGAAATAAAGTCATATTCAAAATTGTACAAATGAGTAATAAAGTAATAATTGAAATTACAACCGCTTCAACTAAATGTATTAATCATCAAATTATTTCGTCATAAGGGATATCAAATAGAGGCATTTTAAAACCCCGGTATTACGAATCCGCGAACGGAAACAAACTTTTTTTTTAATATTTCAAAAGTTATCTGTAGAAAATATATTCCGAACATTATTTACGATGTTAACTCCTGTCGGCACTTTTAAATCATGAAAACTAACAACCTTTCTTAAAATCTATTTTGGGTAACAATAATTAAAATATTTATGGTTTAAGTTTTCAAACTTCGGATATTCCATATGCAATATTTTTGCGCGCACAACTCCTTTTTGCCGCGCTTCAAAGTACCACCTCTAGACGTACCAATATCTCGGCTACGCTATTACCCACAGTGTAATGTGCGTGTCGAAGTTAAGTTTAGTGGTTCTTTGTTCTATATTGAATAAGCTTGATTGTTCCACTTTAATAAACAATACTCTATGTACATATGTATGTTTGTACGTACGATACTGAATTATTTAAATTGATACAAATTATTACTAATAAAATTAAATTTATAATTATTTATTTGATATTTGCGGATTTGTTGGAAAATAAATATATATACATACTTATGTATGTTTTAATTTTGCGATTGCATAACTAGGCGGGTTCACATTTGCTCGCTCCCGCATTCGCAACCGCCGCGTCCCGCTGCACTGCACTCGCGCCGCTCCCACCCTTCTCCGCAAAAATTGGTTTTATGGGTTTCCAAACAAAAAATTTAAAAAGCGCAATAAAACCATAATGGTTTTATTTCCATTTCTAGTTGGAAATAAGGCCGTATCGAATTTGTGGTTTTATTTTCAATCGGAAAGCGAAATTAAGCCATTATGGCCTTATTGCGTATGGCGTTATTGCACCCCAACTCTTGGATTAGTCAACAAATCGATTCCAATATGAATTAATAGCAACTTCACTCTTAGAGTAGCTATAGTAGACTAAATTAAAATTGTAGCACATTTGTGCTGGTGGCCGGCGTCCCTTATTGCTGTATAGCCTAAAAATGCTTTGGTCAACATTTAAAAGTCTTTATCTATATAGTTTTTTTTAACTTTTTTTGAGAACTTGTTCTTAAAGCCATCTGGGATACAACTTTGATAACTATTTTAAGCCTAAGAAGGTAGTCATAACTGGTACATCGACGGTTAAAGGTTGACCCGTGCATCGAAACGCGTGTTTGTGATCTAGAACCCAGAAGGTTCTGCATCGCTTCTGTGGATAGGATTTACCCCCTTTTGGGTTTCCGATCGCCGGAGCAACTAAGCTGCAGATAAATAGTTTAGCAGTTTATAGTCTGATTTCTATTATTGCATGTCTTCTTTCTTATCAAAACTAACATGATTTTGTACACTTACCTTAAGCATTTGAGTACTTTTAACTTAAATTTTTTTTTTTTTTAATTTTTTCTCTCCCACAGAGCATCCAAATGCCCGATCTGCCACCCGAAAGCAACAGCCACTCAATCAAACTGGGCTGGATAAATGGCGTCGTCATACCGTGTCTACTTAACATTTGGGGTGTCATGTTATTCTTGCGCCTTAGCTGGGTAGTCGCTGAGTCTGGCATATTGCAGTCACTCATTATAATCGGTATTTCGGCTGTAGTTTGCGTGATCACCACACTTTCACTATCTGCGATCAGCACGAATGGTGAGGTGAAGGGAGGCGGCGTATATTTCATAATTTCACGCTCGCTGGGCCCAGAGTTCGGCGCTTCTGTTGGTGTGGTCTTTGCATTTGCCAATGCCGTTGCCGCATCCATGAATACAATCGGCTTCTGCGACTCGCTAAACGATTTGTTGAGTAAGTCATACAACAAAAAAATATGAGTGTAAGAGTAGTTAAAAGTCGTTCCATCTTTTCATTTCATTCTGCAGAAAATCACGGCTTGAAGATCATCGATGGCGGTATTAATGATGTACGCATTGTTGGCGTATGCACCATAGTGATGTTGATACTCATTTGCTGCGTGGGCATGGAATGGGAGTCGAAGGCGCAAAATTTCCTTATCGTCACTATAGTTTTGGCTATTTTTAATTTCNGCTAAACGATTTGTTGAGTAAGTCAGACAACAAAAAAATATGAGTATAAGAGTAGTTAAAAGACGTTCCATCTTTTCATTTCATTCTACAGAAAATCACGGCTTGAAGATCATCGATGGCGGGATTAATGATGTACGCATTGTTGGCGTATGCACCATAGTGGTGTTGATACTCATTTGCTGCGTTGGCATGGAATGGGAGTCGAAGGCGCAAAATTTCCTTATCGTCACTATAGTTTTGGCTATTTTTAATTTCTTAATTGGCTCAGCGATTGGACCACGTGGGAATGAGGAAGCTATAGCAAAAGGTTTCGTCGGTTTCTCATGTAGGTTTTTTTTCTTTTTTTAATACAGGACTAAAATTAGAGTAATTGGATTGCCTATGTTTATATGTTTTTGATAGGGAGCAATTTCATGGAAAACTTTGGCGGCGACTACCGCTTTTCGGAAGGCGTTAATCAAGACTTTTTTAGTGTATTCGCAATCTATTTTCCTAGTGTGACAGGCATACAAGCTGGTGCGAACATTTGCGGTGACTTAAAGGATCCNTCTTTTAATACGGAACTGAAATGAGAGTAAATTGGATTGCCTATGTTTATATGTTTTTGATAGGGAGCAATTTTAAGGAAAACTTTGGCGGTGACTACCGCTTTTCGGAAGGCGTTAATCAAGACTTTTTTAGTGTATTCGCAATCTATTTTCCCAGTGTGACAGGCATACAAGCTGGTGCGAACATTTGCGGTGACTTAAAGGATCCTGGTGCGGCTATACCCAAAGGAACATTTTGGGCGCTCATGATTTCCATGTTTTCATATGCTGTGTTCGTATTGTTCGCGGGCGGGGCAGCTGCGCGTGATGCTTCTGGCAATGTTGCAGACTTAATTAACGGTACATTGATCAGTTCGGAGTTGCCGTGCAAGGTGAACTTGGTAAGTGCCTAAAAGTATGTATGTATGTATGTGATAAGTGTATTTTTTCTGCTATACTTAGTAGTATCACGTGTGCTTATAGTGAAACCTCGATATTACGACGTTCAAGTGTCTGAACAAATATTTCGTTGCATTTTTAGTAGTTTCATTACACTGCAGGGACGCTAAAACGACAGAAAAAACGTCGAGACACACAAAACTTAATTTTTGGTCTTAGATTACGGATCTGTATACCGCTTTTCTAGATCAGCTAATTTTGCATTGCGAATGAAAAAAATTCAAATTTAAAGCCCTGTAAGCAGCTCTCAAGAAAAGCAAAAACTCCATATAAAATGACGTACAAGAAATGGCTAAGAAATTTTCTTGAGTCAAATTTCCTTAAGGCAGTACGCAGCTCTTAAGAAATTTACTACGCTTTCTACTACGGTTTTCTAAAGTTTTTTGTGAAAAAAGGGGACAAGGCAACCCAGGTTTGCAACAGAAATATATGCCCGTTCCATTATTTCTTGAGGAAAGAGTGGGGCAACAGGCTGTGAGGTATCAAAAATGTCAAAATTCCTTGGACACACGCGAAATAATGGCAATTTTTTCTTGACCGTTTTCTTGAGAGCTGCATACAGGGCTTTAACATGGAAAATGTTACTCATACGCCATGTTGTCTAAATTGTGCTTGGTGACTATAATGCCAGCGTATGCAAAGAATGTTTTTTTAGTCCTACTGTGGGAAACTTCAGCCCTTCACAAGCACAATGCCGCTAACATCGGCTAGAATCACAACTTGGTTACAGCTGAAGTCACAATTGCCAGTCGATAAATTAATGCTTAAACAAGTAAATAATTTCCTGGATATATGTATGTAAATGAGCAATGGAATTATATCTCTCTATCTCTTTGTACCGCTGCGAAAGAGGTGATTGGCTCCTTCCGCCCACGCAGCATAACGAATGACAGAAAATAAGGCAGCTATCCAATGGTCTCAAGACCGGAGCTGGTAACTGCAGAAACGAATATGGAAATCTGGACGTCCGATACATGAAAGCTACACTTCTCAACCTCTTCTTTTGAATGTCGACACCAGTAGCGTATTGAACGAAGAAGAACCCAGCGTCTACGATGTCATGTCTATATTTGGTATCACCTTAAACCAGCGATGGGCAGAGAGAGCTTTTACTCTGCGTGCGTCTATACAAAGTGTATAGAAAGCTTAAAAGAGATTTGCCCGCGGGCAAGGCGTTGCCCATCACCGCCTTAATCGAATGAGACGTTCAGGCAGGTTCTGCAAGTCACTTCCGAGTGAATTTCAATCCCAGCCGATTTGGATTCAAATCTCAGATTCGATTGAAATTCTCTCGGGAGTGAATTGCAGAATCTGCTTGATTAAGCACAATTGAAGTGACGAAAATATAAATACGGAAGACATTTTAGCATTCATTGGCTATTTCCCTTTGGTTTATTTAATGTTTATCACTTTTTTATGAAAGTGTAGCCTGTTATCTAACAAAAACCATGTAAGTAAAAATTTCAAACTTTGTACAAAAATTAGCAGAGTTCGACAGATTTTTAATTAGATCTTCTAGAAAAATTCCGAGTATGCAGCTTTGTAGCTCATTCAATTTTATTATACGAAGTGCAAATTTTAAATATTTAGCTAGGACTTACCGCTGATTTTTGGTGACTTTTTTGTGGAAGATGTTGATGGTTTTCTCCATAAAAAAAAAAATCTAACATACTTTGTATTGAAAGAAAATGCGTGAACAAAAAATTGCCAAAAATCAACGATAAGTCCTTTATTATACTAAAATTTAAAAAAAAACTGCATACTCTAAAAAGTTCTATAAAATCTGAAAATCCTTGGATTAGGCACTCGTGATAACGGGATTTTAACCATCAACGTATTTAGGCTTTTAGTTTGAAACTTCGTAAAAGAAAAGTAAACGATTTCACGAGTTTTTTTGTTTTTCTTTTGAATATTTACAGACCTGCAACTACGGCCTCCACAATTCCTACTCCGTTATGCAATTGATGTCTGTGTGGGGTCCTCTCATCTATGCCGGCTGTTTCGCTGCCACACTAAGTACTGCACTCACTAACATCCTTTCAGTACCACGTCTTGTACAAGCTTTGGGCATTGATCGCATTTACCCCGGGCTGATTTTCTTCTCCAAACCCTATGGTAAGCATGGTGAACCCTATCGCGGCTACGTGCTGACCTTCATCATATCGGCTGGATTCTTACTGATTGGTGAACTGAACGTTATTGCGCCACTCATTTCCAATTTCTATTTGGCTTCCTATGCCCTAATCAATTTCTGTACGTTCCATGCGTCGTTCGTGAAACCGCTCGGCTGGCGTCCAACATTTAAGGTAAGTCAAAGCACTCCTCGACGTGAATAACTCTTGTCTAACTTATGGATGGAAATCTCCGCGCTGCTTTCTCGACTCCCCCTTATTCTTATTTCAGTATTACAACACATGGTTAAGTTTATTCGGCTTTATACTTTGCATAGCNGCTCTTGTCTAACTTATGGATGGAAATCTCCGCGCTGCTTTCTCGACTCCCCCTTATTCTTATTCCAGTATTACAACACATGGTTAAGTTTATTCGGCTTTATACTTTGCATAGCCATTATGTTTTTGATCGATTGGATATCATCGCTCATCACATTGGTCATAATATTTGCTCTCTATCTGATCGTTATGTATCGGAAGCCAGAAGCTAACTGGGGCTCCTCAACACAAGAGCAACAGTATAAGGCCACACTTACTGCGGTGCACCGGCTGCAAAATGTTTCCGATCATGTCAAGAACTACCATCCGCAAATTTTGGTGCTCAGCGGTGATCCAAGCAGTCGCCCACCACTAATAGATTTCGGCAATATGCTGACCAGACACAATTCGCTTATGTTCATAGGAAATGTTGTACCGGTAAGTCCATTGGAATTTAATTTCCAGTGCAGTCGAGAATCGCTTGTAACTTTTAGCTTCGATCTTAGATGAGTATGGGTTATAAGAACCGCTTGAGTATCATAAAGGATGGTCAGAAGTATTTAGACGCACGCAAAATTAAGGCTTTCTACAATGTTATTGATGGTTTATCCATGGAGGAGGGTGTCAATGCACTCTTAAAATCGACCGGCTTCGGCAAATTGACGCCCAACATTGTATTGATGGGCTATAAAACCGACTGGGCTCAGTGCAGGCGACAATGTGTGGAGAGCTATTTCAATATTTTGTAGTAAGTATTTCTTATACATATGTATGTACATATGCCACTCGTATCCATATATATTTATCCAAAACGATATTTTTACCCTCCAGCAATGCTTTTTCGCAACGCATGGGTGTCGTCATCCTACGTCTACCGAATGGTTTGGAATTTTCCGAACTCAATCCGGAAATTCCGAGCAATGGTAGACATGTACACAACGCAAACGAATTAGGTTACACTAATGCGCTAGTGCCAAGTGCGAATGCTGCTTCAGAGTTGCTGCATGTGGACTCTAATTTGAATCTGGCAGGCATTGATAGCACCAATTCATCGTTTATGGTTTCGCATACGCCATCGATGCCCAATATGACAAGTTCCCGTAAATATACCGTAAGTCAAGGTGACGGTATAAAATACCTAACGAAAAGTGGTTCCGAAGTGCCAAAGGATGTGCTCGACGCAGTGACGGTATTCCTACGCAAACAACCTAAGGGTACAGTTGACGTTTTCTGGCTTTATGATGACGGCGGTAAGTGGCGCCAACCCGCCTAATACATATACATTTGGGCTGGGAGTTCTATTCGGATTTTTTATTTTAATTATCAGTATAATCAGGATGTTCGAATATCTGAATAAAAAATCCAAATATCCGCATATCCGAATAGTTTGTAGATATCCGGAAATTCGATTCTAAAAGTTAACAATAAAATGGCAAGGATTATTCGTATACACGAATATCCGAATGGTCTCAGCCTTATCATACATATGTACATACAGTATCGGTCATATCTATACCACGCCATTTCAAAGTGATATTGTGTGCCACTTATGTTTATTTATTTATTTTTAGGAATTTTCAATTAAAATACAGTCCTTTCTCTAATAAACCCCATATAAACCAAAGTTTAATAATTTGTAGAAAACTTCAAAAAAGTGCAACAAATTTTCACCTAAGTTTCAAACTTTTTTCTCCGAAGTGTTAGAATTTTTTCGAGTACACAGTTTTTTAGCCACTGCAATTTTAGTCTGATAATGTGCAAATGTCAAGTGTCTATGAATTACCGTTAATTTTTTTGAATTTTTTTTGTCGTATTGGCCTCCATATAATGAATAAACTCAATTTATTTGTATATGGAAGAAATCCGCAACACCTTTGGCGAAAAAAATTCTAAAAAAGCAACGGTAACTTTTAGCAACTTGAAACTTGCACATTATCAGACTAAAATTGGTTGGGCTATAAAACTGTGTATTCAGAAAAATTCAAACACTTCTGAGAAAAAAGTTTGAAATTTAGGTGAAAATTTGTTGCA